ATTAACATCCCATCATGCTTAGAGTCATGCATAAAAATGCTGGGCATGCCATTATTTTGGCTACCATTGCTCTGCCCTCATAGGATGACAATACCCCCATCCACAGGGCACGAGTGGTCACTGAATGGTTTTGATGAGCATGAAAACGATGTAAACCTTATGCCATGGCCCTCTCAGTCACCAGATCTCAACCCAATTGAACACTTACATTTGAGTCTTTTAGCAGACGCTCCTATCCAGAGCGACTTACAGTTAGTGCATTCATCTTAAGGCAACCATATATCACAGTCATAGTAAGTACATTTTTCCTCCATAAAGTAGCTATTAGCAAAGTCAGAGCTAGTAAGGGAGAAAAAAGTGAAGAGCGAGTGTTAGTTCACGAAAGGCATTTATGGGATATTCTGGAGCGTTTTCCACCACCACCAACAAAACAGCAAATTATGGAATTTCTCGTGGAAGAAATGTGTCGCATCCCTCCAGTAGAGTTCCAGACACTTGTAGAATATATACCAAGGTGCATTGAAGCTGTTCTGGATCGTGGTGGCCCAACGCCCTATTAAGACACTTTATGTTGGTGTTTCTTTATTTCGGCAGTTACCTGTATATTTTCATATTGACCCTAAATACACTGCTCAAAAAAATTAAGGGAACACTAAAATAACACATCCTAGATCTGAATGAAATAATCTTATTAAATACTTTTTTCTTTACATAGTTGAATGTGCTGACAACAAAATCACACAAAAATTATCAATGGAAATCAAATGTATGGAGGTCTGGATTTGGAGTCACCCTCAAAATTAAAGTGGAAAACCACACTACAGGCTGATCCAACTTTGATGTAATGTCCTTAAAACAAGTCAAAATGAGGCTCAGTAGTGTGTGTGGCCTCCACGTGCCTGTATGACCTCCCTACAACGCCTGGGCATGCTCCTGATGAGGTGGCTGATGGTCTCCTGAGGGATCTCCTCCCAGACCTGGACTAAAGCATCCGCCAACTCCTGGACAGTCTGTGGTGCAACGTGGCGTTGGTGGATGGAGCGAGACATGATGTCCCAGATGTGCTCAATTGGATTCAGGTCTGGGGAACGGGCGGGCCAGTCCATAGCATCAATGCCTTCCTCTTGCAGGAACTGCTGACACACTCCAGCTACATGAGGTCTAACATTGTCTTGCATTAGGAGGAACCCAGGGCCAACCGCACCAGCATATGGTCTCACAAGGGGTCTGAGGATCTCATCTCGGTACCTAATGGCAGTCAGGCTACCTCTGGCGAGTACATGGAGGGCTGTGCGGCCCCCCAAAGAAATGCCACCCCACACCATGACTGACCCACCGCCAAACCGGTCATGCTGGAGGATGTTGCAGGCAGCAGAACGTTCTTCACGGCGTCTCCAGACTCTGTCACGTCTGTCACATGTGCTCAGTGTGAACCTGCTTTCATCTGTGAAGAGCACAGGGCCCAGTGGCGAATTTGCCAATCTTGGTGTTCTCTGGCAAATGCCAAACGTCCTGCATGGTGTTGGGCTGTAAGCACAACCCCCACCTGTGGACGTCGGGCCCTCATACCACCCTCATAGAGTCTGTTTCTGACCGTTTGTGGCCTGCTGGAGGTCATTTTGCAGGGCTCTGGCAGTGCTCCTCCTGCTCCTCCTTGCACAAAGGCGGAGGTAGCAGTCCTGCTGCTGGGTTGTTGCCCTCCTACGGCCTCCTCCACGTCTCCTGATGTACTGGCCTGTCTCCTGGTAGCGCCTCCATGCTCTGGACACTACGCTGACAGACACAGCAAACCTTCTTGCCACAGCTCGCATTGATGTGCCATCCTGGATGAGCTGCACTACCTGAGCCACTTGTGTGGTTGCAAAACCAGTCCTTTATTGGGGGTGTCTTGCTAATTGCCTATAATTTCCACCTGTTGTCTATTCCATTTGCACAACAGCATGTGAAATGTATTGTCAATCAGTGTTGCTTCCTAAGTGGACAGTCTGATTTCACAGAAGTGTGATTGACTTGGAGTTACATTGTGTTGTTTAAGTGTTCCCTTTATTTTTTTGAGCAGTGTATATTGGAAGGAAAGGACGTTTTCCTATTAAAAGTACAGTGAATTACTGCAGACCAATTTTAGTTTTATATGTTTTGAAGACAGAGAAGATTTAGATTTTCTGTGTCCATGAGTTGAGTCAGTAAATTAACAACTTAATTAAATCAATTTGATCAATAATATAGCCTAGTCACTTTTACCCCTACCCACAGGTACATACTATAATGTATTACCTCAACTGCCTCGAACCCCGGCACATTGACTCAGTACTGGTACTCCTTATATATAGCGTCGTTATTGTTTTAATTGTGTTACTACTAACTTTTTCATTTAGCAAATATATGTCTTACTTTTTAACTCTGCACTGTTGGGAATGGGCTACTAAGTAAGCATTTCACTGTAAAGTCTACACCTGTTGTATTTGGCGCATGTGACAATACAATTTGATTAGATTTAGTAATAGCTGAGTTATAATACACATGTATTTGTTTCAGAGCTTTGTAGAGCTCATGCTTGTCAACTTAATTCTTCCCTCCTCTTTTCAGGCCAAATCTACTGTCGAACATGGGGACACGGAGGGGGAATAGAGTCTGGACAGACCGAGAAGTGTCCCCCTGACACTCACAACGCAGAGCAAGGGAGAACTGTAGGATCGAGGTCCAGGTTGCCAGAGTTCACGGTACTGTCCACCCGAAATAGCTTTTTTGATCCCCAAGGGTTACTCTCCAACAGGTTCCCCAAAGAGGGAAGCAAGCCCCCTTCCCAAATTAAAAGAGGCTCCACTTCTTCATCAAAAGGCATAGAAAAGCAGCCGCAACAGCTAACGTCTCACTTGGCCAAGAGGCAGCTCCGATGCAGCCACTGCACCAAGCGCTTCTCCCACAGCCAACAGCTGAAGATTCACGAGAGGGTGCACATCGGAGAGAAACCGTTTCAATGTGTCTACTGCGGGAAGTGCTTCACCCAGTCCGGACACATGAAGAGGCACCTCCTCTTCAACACTCTCCTAGGTACAGATCTAGGATCAGTTTCCTCACCCCCAATCCTAACCTTAACTATTAGTGGGAAAAAAATCCTAAAAGGACCCAGGATCATCATCTAGGGGCGACTTCACACTACTCCACCAGACATAATGATAGGCAGGGCCAGGAGTTTTCCCTCACCACGTGACCAGACTAGGGAACAACTCCTGGCCATAGTTGTAAGGGGAATGGCTCCACACTTCTGGGGTTTTCATATGAAAACTGGGTCCATGTGTTTTTAACAGTTTGCATGGTTTCCAGATTGAACGCCTCCCTCTGTGTGTAGTGGTTGTGTATTTAGTTCAACTGGCTTAATGCTTGGTCCAGAGTGGATTGATAATGTGAGTTATTACAGGTGCAGATTTTAAACATCCTAAATAATTTGCATTGGTGCAGTGGTGAACCAAAGTACAGTAATCGAAAAAAAATAATACTTTTGTTTACACTAAATAACATGTTGTTTATTACATAGCTACAACATTGTTGTGGTCGAGCACTCCTGTACAGTAGGTGGCGGTGTTAAACTTTCAATTGTACAGTCCAGCATATGATACATTTAATGCGATGAGGAAAACGAAGCTAGCTACAATCAAAAGCTAGCTATCTATCGTTATTTATCTTCTGATATGATTGTATTTGTTTTAGTAGCTTGCTAGATAACTGTATAGCATCATAATATAGAAAACACAAAGACTGTTTACATATTGAAAAGGGTCCAAAAGCGTCGGGGGACAATGTCGGGTTCCGTGGTCGAGTTCCAGGGGCAGATAGCCTCAATCATGGAGGTGCTAGCCAACGCGGCTGTAGCAGAAATCTGCAAAGTTGTTGACGATGGCTATGCGGTTGTACACCTGGAGATTTCCCAAAGCCAAAAGGAGAACGAATTTCTCCGGAGGAAAATGAAATTGATGGAACTTCAGATCGCGAGGTTTCGAGCTGAGAGAACAAAGTTTTCAGAGGGGTCCGTCCACAACCGCTTCCATGGAATACGCCTGCTGAACAGACACAACAATCGAGAGACCGCAACGACAGGTTGGTGATGATGGTACATTTGACAGTGTGCACATAGCCTAAATTACATTAATCTTCAATTTGACCCCATCCATCAATTGTGTTTTACAAAGTTCAAAGCAAGCATAATACAGCCATGATTTATGTAATGTCAATACAGTTAGGGCCTAGAGGTATTATTTACATTCTATATAGGATGTATCATGCGTACTTTGTACTGTTAACACAGCTAGGATCCTTCTAGCTCTATTGACACATTACATACGTCATGTACATATTATGCTTGCTTTGTTCATTGTAACACACCATTGATGGATGGGGTCAAATTGAAGATTATCATAATTTATTAAACCATCATACACTATATATACGAAAGTATATGGACACCCCTTCAAATTAGTGGATTCAGCTATTTCAGCCACACACGTTGCTGACAGGTGTATAAAATCAAGCACACCGCCATGCAATCTCCATAGACAAACACTGGCAGTAGAATGGCCCGCACTGAAGAGCTTTCAACGTGGCACCGTCATAGAATGCCACCTTTCCAACAAGTCAGTTTGTCCAATTGCTGTTGTTGTAAAATATTGTCTGTCCTCGGTTGCAACACTCGCTACTGAGTTCCAAATTGCTTCTGGAAAAAACATCAGCGCAATAACTGTTCGTCGGGAGCTTCAAGAAATGGGTTTTCATGGCCGAGCAGCATGCCGATGATTTTGAAATGAGATGTTCGAGTAGGTGTCCACATACTTTTAGTCATGTAGTGTAGTTATGAATTATTATTTTTTTTACCTCCCCCTTTATTTCCAGGACCTACTTGGCAAAGCAGAGCCAGACTTTCCAACAGGAGTTTTGGGAACAGCAACATTCAAAGAGACAGACAGCCCATAGACGTGGACCAAGAGGATGTCTCTCCGTCAAAGCATATGGATGCTACAAGTGATGAGGTAAGTCCCAATTTTAATAGCCGATTTCAAACTGTCACAGACCTATGTCTGTTTTAGTCTAGGACACCAGACACTTCCGCCTGGGGATGAGGTTATGTCTGTATAGACGTGTGTGCCAGCACATTATAACCAGTGATGTAGTGGTAAAAAATAGGTGGGTAAACAGTGATCGTCGTTCACCGTGAGTAAATTAACACTCCCTATACATTCAAAGCATTTTTGCGCATACGTTTTTAAAAGGCTTGTGTAAAATATAAAAGGTGGAGTTTACCCTCCACTACTCCACTGATTATAACACAATAACAACAAGGCAACTACTATGAATTTTACTAAATCCCATGTCATGCCCATATCTCCATTCAGTAGATAGTGTATGCTCTGTCTCACTCACTCATCTCTCCCACTTAACTCCATCAGCAGTCAGGAGAGACAGAGGAAGGGGAACCAGACCTGCTGATCATCAAGGAAGAGGGAGAAGCAGATGACCAGGACTCTAGGTCCAGCCACCCAGCCAGAACAGTGGAGGGCAGCAGAGAGCTAACCACCCAACCGGCTGCAGCCACCACAGAGGACCCCGCCTTCCAGCCCAGTGGCCCCAAAGGCAACAACAACAACATCCACACCGCTATGGAGGTCAGTGGATCTGACCTCATCTTCCTCCAATCAGAAACAGGGAATGTGAACCAGGGACCACAGCAGTTTACAGGATTTGATCCCAGAGCAGAGAGACAGAGTCTGGACACAAAGTGTGACGTGAACGGGGGCCTCAATCTTCTAAGAGATTCTTTAAACCAGGTGTTGAGAGAGGTAGTAGTGACTGATGATGGTGCCTCTGCTGCTCACACTAAAGTAATGGACCTAGGGAGTGGCCCAGTGGGCTCAGAAATGCAGACTAGCTCTGCCATAGAAATGAGAAGTGTAGGGTTAGAAAACCACAGGTTCCATTCCTCATCAGAACATGTGATAGTGATTGACTCTGTATCCAGTGGGCAGCAGGTAGATAGAGATTTTGAGTGGGGTCAGGTGGGTACAGCTACTACATCACAGGTCAATTGGACTGGAAATAAGCAGGAAGTGGGAGTGTTTAACAGAAACACACCAATGATTCAGCCCCGAATCGATGAAAGACAACACGACGCAATTGGTTTCACCCAGCTTCCGGCCCTCAGAGATAAATACAGGCATGCATCTTGACACAGGAAATGCAGGTGAGGCCAACAAAGCTCGTTGGTGCTCGTTGGCAAGCCTCCATAGACACTCTGAAATACCAGGAAGAGGAGCTCAACAACTAGCTCATACCTCACTTCCTGTCGGCCATTATAGACCAAGCACCACAATTTCATCTCACTTGAGTAATCTCACCACACACGTTAGACCTGGCACTGTAGAACAACCGTACAGTTGCCCGAACTGCCATAAGCAGTTTGTCCATGAGAGCGACTTGCGGCAGCACGCTGTTGTCCACACCAGAAAGCGGGGGTTCGCCTGCACCTTGTGTGAGAAGAGATTTGTGTGCGCCAGCCAGCTACAAATGCACCAGAACGTTCACACTGGAGAGAAGCCGTTCAGTTGTGCACAGTGCGGGCGCAGGTTCTCCCACTCCAGCAATCTGAAAAGACATCAGAAGCTTCATCATTGAGTACTGACACAGAAGCAAGAGATTCCTATTGAAATAAACCGTTATAGCAATATCATGAGTTCAAACGTAATTTGTTCTAACGTTGTCATATGTTTGCCTTGGTCTCATACGTTTACATTTCCAAAAACATTTGTTACATTTTAGGAATTTAGCAGATGCTCTTATCCAGAGTGACTTACAGGAGCAATTAGGCTTAAGTGACTTGCTCAAGGTTACGTCGACAGATTTTCCACCTAGTCGGCTCTGGGTTTCAAACCAGCGACCTTTAGATTACTGGCCCAGCGCTCTTAACCGCTAGGCTACCTGCCGCACAACCTCGTCTCGGAGTATTTCGTATTATTCTTTACGTAAATCCGAGATACTACATGTAGTATATGTTACGTTTCGTATTGGTATGTATTCATTTGTGGATGTCCATCATCCATTTCGTATGATATATTACGAATTACAATTTGTATGCTATTTTACGAATTTGAAAAATGTACAATAAGTTACGAATTTGCTAAACGTATGACGTTACGAATTCCAATTTGTTGTGGCTAACGTTAGCTAGGTGGCTAGGTAGCTAGGCTAGGGGTTAGGGTTAAGGTTATGAGTTAGGTTAAAGGGTTATGGTTAGGGGAAGGGTTAGCTAAAATGCTAAGTAGTTGTAAAGTAGCTAAAAAGTAGTAAGTAGTTGAAAAGTTGCTAAAGTTGTCCATAATGAGATTTACGCCCACCCATCCACCCCGACCAACCAACCACACTCCTTTCATTTTTGCCTCAAGTAACCTTCTTTCTTATGTAACCAAATGTAACATATCATATTAATTTGAGGGTCATGGATTTAGTTTACTATGTTACATCTAGTCTATGAGACAAGGCTGGTTTACAATACAATGTGGTTCAGATTTACATTATCGGCATAAACTGTTACGTTTTTTTTAGTTCCTTGGCTCCTTCAAGGCCAACAGCATCACTCACATTGACTGTTAAGGTTGATAATGGTTGTTTTCTTATAATAATACTGCGTGCCTCACAAAGTTATAGCAGATCCTGCAGTTGTACTGTGAGAGTGAAAAACTGTCTGTTCTTTTGTACCAATTTGACCAATGGCTATTGCTGTTTGTTCATTAAATTCCATAATTCCCTCAATAAATAATATTTTTCAAAGAATTTCATGGTGCTTTTTTTTGTTTTGTATTTTACCCCCTTTTTATCCCCAATTTTGTGATATCCAATTACGATCCAATTACGATTTTGTCTCATCGCTGCAAATCCCCAACGGGCTCGGGAGAGGTGAAGGTTGAGTCATGTGTCCTCCGAAACATGACCCGCCAAACCGCGCTCCTTAACACCCGCCCGCTTAACCCGGAAGCCAGCCGCACCAATGTGTCGAAAGAAACACTGTTCAACTGACTGAAGTCAGCCTGCAGGCGCCCGGCCCGCCACATTCAGTACCGGGTCGGACCCCCTGTAGCCATGAAGGGATGCACCTGGTCAGCAACAATGTTCAGATACGATGTGGCATTCAAACGTTGCTCAATTGGTATCAAGGGACCTATGCCAGGAAAACATTACACCACCACCACTAGCATGTACCATTGACACCAGGCATGATGGGGCCATTGACTCATGCTGCTTACGCAAAATCCTGACTGCCATCAGCATGACGCAACAGGAACCAGGATTCGTCAGACCAGGCAATGTTTTTCCACTCCTCAATTGTCCAGTGTTGGTGATCGCATGCCCAATGGAGCCGATTCTTCTTGTTTTTAGCTGATAGTAGTGGAACCCAGGGTGGTCGTCTGCTGCAATAGCCCATCCGTGACAAAGACCGCTGAGTTGTGCGTTCTGAGATGCCGTTCTGCACACCACTGTTGTACTGCGCTGTTATTTGCCTGTTTGTGGCCCGTCTGTTAGCTTGCACCATTCTTGCCATTCTCCTTCGACCTCTGTCATCAACAAGCTGTTTTTGCCTACAGGACTGCCGCTGACCGGATGTTTTTTGTTTTTTGCACCATTCTCTGTAAATCCTAGAGACACGGTCGTGCGTGAAAAGCCCAGGAGGCCGGGCATTTCTGAGATACTGGAACCGGCACGCCTGGCACTGACAATCATACCACGCTCAAAGTCGCTTAGGTCACTCGTTTTGCCCATTCTAACGTTCAATCGAACAGTAACTGAATGCTTCGATGCCTGTCTGCCTGCTTTATATAGCAAGCCAGGGCCACCAGACTAACTGTCTGTAGTTGCAAACCATTTTCGTGAAGGGGGTGGTGTACCTAATAAATTGACAACTGAGTGTATATTTTCACATTGACCCTAAATATATATTCTCACATTGACCCTAAATATATATTCTCACATTGACCCTAAATATATATTCTCACATAGATCCTAAATACTGTATATTCTCACATTGCTTCCAAATGAAATCAGTCAGTTGGCAGGAAATTACGTTTCCCTTTCAAAAGTACAGGCAATTATTGCAGTCCAATTTGAGTTTTATATGTTTTGAGGACAGAGAAGCTTTAGATTTGCTGTGTCCATGAGTTTAGTCAGTAAATTAACAACTTAATTCAAGCCGTTGGATCAATAATATAGCCTAGTCATAGCTGAGTTATAATAGACCTGTATTTGTTTGAGAGCTTTGTAAGGCTCATGCCTGTCAACTTAATTCCTCCCTCCTCTTTTCAGGCCAAATCTACTATGGAAGGGGAGAGAGACCTCCAGCCATGGAAGAAAGAAGAGGATCTGAGGGAGATGCCAGGTAATGCTGAATGGATTGCTGTAATGAAAAATGACATACTGATTGACTACCTCATTGTTTTATTTGACTGCATATGACCATCATGCTTTTGTTGTCTCTTCAGGCACTGACAGTGGCCAGAGAATACCGGGCCCGGACTCACAGACCTCTCCAGACACAGACCAAGCAGAGCTCACTGAGCAGCTCAGAACCAAACACATCATAGTGAATGTCAACAGGTCAGACACGGAGCCTGAGAGCCTGAGTCAGGTGCTCCAACTCACAGGTCCAGGACCTGTTGCTAAACCTGCGAGAACAACCGATCTGCCTGTAAACTCCTGTAAGCGAAGAGGCAGTGATACAGTGACTGAGCGGCCATCTTGTTCTAGTTATGCTGCCGAGACAGTCTCAGGAAGCCCCTCGCCTCTCACAAAGGTGAACTCCATTCCCCCACTTCCTCAGATGGTGAGGGGTGAACACGAGAATTCCCATGGCGGTTCAGAGGTCAAGTCTGAGGTCATAGTTATCGACCCCCTTCCTGTTGACGAGGGGGAGGGTGGGGATGACACACCCTCTTCCTGGAGACAAGGTGACATCATGGAACCCAGGCATCATCAAGGAGGACATAGTGAAGCAGATGCCATGCTTCTTGGAGGACATTCGAGTAACACTTATCATCATCATCCTCACCCAGGTGTCCAGGCAGCAGCGAGACAGAACTCCCCCGAGAATCTGTTCTACACCATTGGCATGGACGGCGCTTTCGACAACCGCCTTGGCACCTTTCAGAACCCCGCAACCACCGCCACTGCTCCATTCGCCGAGGGAACCGGAGAGCTGCAGTACCCCTCCTGGGTGGATTTCCCTGGGAGCGCCCCCGACACCCACCTGGGCGACATGACTGGGACTCATCAGGACAGAGGAGTGGGGGAGGAGGGGGCGAGGTCCTACAGGTGCACCTTCTGCGGGAGGGAGTACCCTCATCAGTGCCAGCTCAAGATGCACCAGAGGGTCCACACAGGGGAGAAACCGTATGAGTGCGCCCAGTGTGGGAAGCAGTTCAGCCAGCTGTGCGGCCTGAAGCGACACCAGAGAGTACACACAGGGGAGAAACCTTTCAGATGCGCTCAGTGCGGGAAACAGTTCTCTCATTCCAGCAACCTGAAAGTGCATCAGAGCGTCCATACGGGGGAGAAACGGTTCCACTGCACCCAGTGTGGAAAGAACTTCTCCTTTCTGAGCAATCTAATAAGACACCAGGCAGTTCATGCACGTAAATTATAGGTTGTGTTGTATTGATTTGGGATTGTGTTTTCTGAAATTATTGTAAATTGAATGAGGTGTGTGATTGCTCTGGCTATATGCCGCGTTTACGTGCTAGTCAGAACTCGGAAATGTCGGACTTGCTAACTGGTTGTAGTTATGCACGTGCCGCGTTCAACCAGTTAGCAAGTTGGACATTCAAGAGTTTCCTAGTTCCAAAACGCGCCATTAAAGGTTGTTACCTGTTCTTTGTATTCTTTCTTTGTTGTCTTTTTTCTCTCCTCTGACTGTTATTTTGTATTCTGGAGCCATTTGTAGAAAAATTCAAGAAAGAATCAAGAAAGAAATAATGATTTAAGGTTTGCTGCAGATTGTTATATTGGTTCAACATACAGTATCATGTCTAAAAGGTTACACTTTTTATTGTATAAATTCCTACAGTATTTGTGTAGTGTTGAAAATAATCAGGCCAAAATAAGATTGTCACAAGGAACATGCTTGTGTTAAAGTTCAAACGTTCTTTGTGATGTTTTGAGAAATAAACCAACTCATGGGAAATGTGAAGAATGTATTTTGTCTTTGAGAATAATAAATTGAGCTTTATCTCCGCAAAGACAAACTCTGTGATCTCAGTGTTTACGGTAAATTGTCTCAGGAAGTAGATGGTTTAACCCCGGAAGAAGGTCTTGCGCGGGAAAGTTTGTTTGTAGCTCGGTAGCTAGCCTGCTTAGTAAGGTTGGCTTCTTAGCATTCAGTGCCATGGTTATCAAATGTACCGCAGAAATGGAAAGTAAATCACAGAAAATATTGTGGTGACAGCTGCAGAGAAGTACTTGGGGGTACGATATTTAACAGAAGAGTTACAGGGTGTGTTGAGATGTGCTGTCCCGTGCTCCCAGAGGCCTTTGGCATGGTGTACTGTACGAGCCGATAGGATCAAGTAGTGAAATGGGTTTTTAATGAGTGTAGGTGGCAGCTGCAGAGAAGTACCTGAGTGTACGAGATTTTACTGCAGAAGAGGTAATGGGGTGGTGGTTTTTATAAAATAGTGGTAAATACTGTAGGTGTGGGGTTAGTTGGTTGTGGATTTTTTCTTTTAGGAACAGGAATAATGAGAATTTAATGTAGGTAGGAAATGACTGGCCTCACACTGAAGTACAGTAGGTGGCGGTGTATGTACCTTTAAATTGGATGCGATCCGCCAATCCCGGAGAAGAAGAAGCTAGCCTGCTTGTACTAGTAGTCAAATAATAACAAAGATGTCCAACGAAGTCGTTTTTCGTGCGCGTGTAGCTTCCGTTATGGAAACTTTAACAGCAACAGCCGTACGAGCAGTGTGTCAAATAATGGAAGAAAGCTACGCTGCTCTTCGTGTGGAAATGGAGTGTAGCCATGAACTGAACTGGAAGCCCCTGACGATGGAGATTGGCACAGGGATGGAGAAGGACACTGTGCCACCATGGAACCCTTGCCGTTCTTCTGATCGTATTCAAGTGGCAGGTGAGATGACAAATCAAATCAAATTATTTGTCACATGCGCCGAATACAACAGGTGTAAACCTTACCGTGAAATGCTTACTTAACGTTACAAGCCCTTAACCAACAATTCCGTTTTTTTCTAAGTAAGAAAATATTTGAAAAATAAATGAATGAAAAGTAGAATAAACGAAAGTTAAAAAAATAAATAACAGCATTAAATTACAATAACGAGGCTATATAAAGGGGGTACCGAGTCAGTGTGCGGGGGTACAGGTTAGTTGAGGTAATATGTACATGTAGGTAGGGTTAAAGTGACTGCATAGATAATACACAGAGTAGCAGTAGCGTAAAAGGGGGTCAATGCTCTCGGTGGTGCAGCTGTATAACTTTTTGAGGATCTGAGGACCCATGCCATATCTTTTCAGTCTCCTGAGGGGGGGAATAGGCTTTGTCGTGCCCTCTTCACGACTGTCTTGGTGTGTTTGGACCATGATAGTTTGTTGGTGATGTGGACACCAAGGAACTTCAAGCTCTCGACCCGACCCGCTCCACTGCAGCCCCATCAATGTGAATGGGGGCGTGCTCGACCCTCCTTTTCCTGTAGGCCACGATCAGCTCCTTTGTCTAGCTCACGTTGAGGGAGAGGTTGTTCTTCTGGGTTCAGGGGGTGGATCTTATTGAGTATGTGTTGTTTGTAGCTGCAGTTTGTACACCAGATGTGTTGTAACTATTTACATTACATTTGAGTAATTTAGCAGATGCTCTTATGCAGAGCAACTTACAGGAGCAATTAGGGTTAAGTGCTCAAGGGCACATCGACAGACTTTTCACCTAGTCTGCTCAGGGATTTGAATGAGAGCCCTTTGGGTTACTGGCCCAACGCTCTTAACCGCTAGGCTACCTGCCACTCTACTATGTTTCCATTGCTTGGCGTTACAGGTTAACTTATTGAAAACGTCGCCATAGATTTTAACTAACCTGGTCTTGGCAATACTAAAATGTAATTTAAAAATGGTCTGAGAAGAACAACATTGGCAGGGCAATTCAAGCAAAGCCAATATGCAGTGATAATGAATTGGGCCTATAGCCTACTTCACAAACATCATTGCTACAGAACTGTTTTTAATTGGGTTAATGTTGCATACATAGGCTGATGTTTTTTAAGTCATGTTTTAAAGAAAAATCTGAGCGGAAGAGCTCTGCTTGCATTTTGACTCAGAAAGTGATCTTGACTCAGAAAAGCTTGGTGACCACTGATCTAGAGGTTAGCTCTGCCCTGGACCAGAGCTAGAAGATCCAATGTAAATCCCTTTTATAAGTACAGATCATCATTAGCTGTAACACTATGACGTCAATGTTATGGCAACTCTCTTCTAGTAAGTTTAGATATTTTGGAATATGGGCCTTCGTAGCTAGAGAACAATAGGCATATCCCAGTGATTCACAGCACCCCAATCTTAATTGGTATGTTACCCCACCAGGTTTGAGAAAGGACCTTGTTGAGGAACAGGAGGATGAAGAAGAGGCCAGCGGTGCTGATATGGAAGATGATCCCATGGACCACAATGATCCCACAGATCATGATGATTACACTCTACTGTTACCGATGTCATCGCAAGGACCATCACAGCCTGTTAAACCAAAGACATCCTCAGAAGGACCATCACAGCCTGTTAAACCAAAGACATCCTCAGAAGGACCATCACAGCCTGTTAAGCCAAAGACATCCTCTTCTCTGGTTAAGCTTACGGAAGATAAGGTCAGTGGATCTTGCGGTCGTATACTAGGGGCCTTATTCGTAGGTGAGGATATGTAAATTACTGTCACGCTCCATGATACGTTTCGACGACATGTATGTGCAGTTTCTTTGTACTGTCAGCGTCTGAGATTTTGAGTTACAGTGTCTGAAAAGGGTCCAGGGTGGTTAAAACCCAAAATGCCATTGATATCCTTATGTGAACCAATACTTCTCTAAACCCAACATGCCTTTGATATCCTTATGTTATCCAACACTTCTCTAAACCCAACATGCCTTTGATATCCTTATGTTATCCAATACTTCTCTAAACCCAACATGCCTTTGATATCCTTATGTGAACCAATACTTCTCTAATCACTTGAGATACAAATACCTAATGGACTACATGATGTCACAAATCCCTCTTCAGAAGGGGATTGTCTCTCTCTGATCGTTACTGTGTTTTCTAGCTCCACGTCACAGTGCTGGAGGGGACTTCTCTACCACCGCTACAAAGATGCACAACCTGCTGCAGCTACTATCATTGCCCCTATTGCACCTTTTTCAAACCTGCAAGAAGGACTAAAACCATCCAGCATATACGGTGTCATCTTGCAAGGGCCGTTTGTCATAAGGGTAAGATCTTCTGGATGTCATTTTGACACGTACTTAAGCTATTCGACAATGTCATGGCCCTTTTGTAACTAGAACACCTTTCATTTGTTTTAACCGCAGGTCATGAAAATGACATGTCTTTTCTGTCGATATTGAACCCATTTTTCGTAACAGAACCCATTTATCTGTTGGCAGGTTACACCATGATCAGGTGTACCTTTGACTGCAGGGAAGTTGGACATTTCCACTGTGCATTTTGCAAAAAGATTCTACTAAATAAAAACATATTCATTGACCACCTGAAAATGTGCGGCGGTGCGGAACCTGGTGGGACTAGCACTAACCTGGATCCCAGACCAACCGTTCTCCACGCGGAGGCCATTCTCGAAGCTCTTGCTAAGCTCAATGCAACCTCGACTTATGGACCTATGGAGCATGCAAGGCTTAAAAGCAACTTGAAAGTTGTTAGTGTGAAAATGTTGCAGCGGTGCAATGAACAAAACAAAGGCTTGAAGACAACGTCACAGACGATCCAGAGTGTGCCAGGAGGGATGGAGTGCCTGGCGATCCAGAGTGTGCCAGGAGGGATGGAGTGCCTGGCGACCCAGAGTGTGCCAGGAGGGATGGAGTGCCTGGCGATCCAGAGTGTGCCAGGAGGGATGGAGTGCCTGGCGACCCAGAGTGTGCCAGGAGGGATGGAGTGCCTGGCGACCCAGAGTGTGCCAGGAGGGATGGAGTGCCTGGCGACCCAGAGTGTGCCAGGAGGGATGGAGTGCCTGGCGACCCAGAGTGTGCCAGGAGGGATGGAGTGCCTGGCGACCCAGAGTGTGCCAGGAGGGATGGAGTGCCTGGCGACCCAGAGTGTGCCAGGAGGGATGGAGTGCCTGGCGACCCAGAGTGTGCCAGGAGGGATGGAGTGCCTGGCGACCCAGAGTGTGCCAGGAGGGATGGAGTGCCTGGCGACCCAGAGTGTGCCAGGAGGGATGGAGTGCCTGGCGACCCAGAGTGTGCCAGGAGGGATAGAGTGCCTGGCGATCCAGAGTGTGCCAGGAGGGATGGAGTGCCTGGCGATCCAGAGTGTGCCAGGAGGGATGGAGTGCCTGGCGATCCAGAGTGTGCCAGGAGGGATGGAGTGCCTGGCCACCCAGAGTGTGCCAGGAGGGATGGAGTGCCTGGCGCCAGAGAACCA